CCACATGTTATGCAGAGCAAGAGGGCAGACTAGACTACGCCCACCTCCATGATTTTTGTTTACGCCAACCAATGATGTTCAATGTTTCAAAACAAGCATACATCATTTTCCATATCTTTGTGTGTCCGTGTGGTGAGATTTTTACACATCAGCTCCTCATCTCCCACAACCTCCCGGTCCCCATCAAATGCCAGATCCCGTCCCGCCCTTCATCCCTCCTCTCTGCTGCGTTCTTCTCGTCTCCAACTTCATACCCAAAGAAGTCCTGGTCATCATCACTTCCCCCGTCAAAAATCAAACTCTCCCCTGAAGATGGCAGGATCGACACCCACCACGACCTTCTCGGCCAGGTCCCTACGGTTCATCTGAGTAAAGACGCGGCGGAGCGTGTCGTACAACGTCGTGCTCCTGTTCTGCGTCATCATGACTTCGATCCTAGCATCAGCCGAGGCAGGGTTATTGTCGCCCTGCATGGCCAGGAGCTCGCGAGCCTTTTCCCTGCCGCTCTTCTCCACGCTCTTGTGCATGTCCAACGAAGCCAACAAGTGCCCTGCAGCCTCGGCGTGGCACCCAATGTTGATACACGAGACGCCGAGGTTATACCGCGCGCGGACAAAGTTGGGGTTGATGGACAGGGCCTTCTCGTAGGCGGCAATGGCTTCCTCCGAGCGGCCAGAATTGGCGAGAGTGGCGCCGAGACGGTTCCACAAGAGATGGACCTGCTCGCGCTGGTTGGAGGTGCCCACCTCCGAGCTGTGCAGGGCAGCCTGGAAGCAGTCCACGGCCTTGTCGTACTCTTCGGCGCCGTAAAAGAGGACGCCGAGGCCGACTTGGACGTCTGGGTCCATGTGGTCTCCATCGGGGGCGAGACGGGCGGCGTCAATGAAGAGGTTTGTCACGCGGTCGTGGAGTTGGGCACGGTCGGTGAAACCCATATCGGCCGCGGAGGAGAGGTCATTGGGAGTGATCACCTGAGGATACCTGACCGAAAGCCAGCGCTCGAGGGTGCGGTAGGCGGTACTGTCGTAACCCTCGTTGGTGTACGACACGGCGAGACCCATCAGCGCAGACAGGTTGTTGGGATCAAGCTTCAGGGCTTGTTCGAGCGCGCGAATAGCGGCATCCTCCTTCTCGTTCTGTGCTTGGGCGGTTCCTAGGTAGACCCAGGCGTCAACATGTTGCGGGTCCTTTTGCACCGCAGCCTCAAAGGCAAGAGCTGCCATGGAAAGGTTGCCGCCCTCGTTCATAATGCGCAGACCCTCCTCGAACGGGTTTCCAGAGGCCTGGAAGATGTTCTCGTCCTCAAACATGTACTGCTGAACGACGGGATCGGCGCCCAGCCGGTTGTTGAGCCCCCAGTCGTGGAGGTTGTCACCGCCAAAGTTGGAGCTATCGAACTTGGCAAAGTCCTCTTCAATCTCGTCCAGCTCCTTCAACTGCTCGTGCTCAGCTTGGATACCGCGCCATATCGATTCGAGGTCGCCGTATCCAGTCTCGGAGCGCATCAGCTTCTCATCCATCTGATTCAACTCGGGCTCCATAGCTGCGGCCTCGTCCTGCTCCGACTCGCGCAACTTTTGGTCGTGCAGCTCCATTTGCTTGAACTGCTCTTCCCACTTGTTCTCGTCCAGCTCCACCACCTTGTCCTTGCCCTTCCCCTCGACTTCCTGTTGCTGCATTGGAGGCTGAGCCATGTGCATCTGAGGATTGAACATGGGCTGGTACATGGGCCGCTGCATCATGCCGTAGCTCATACCGCCACCCATCATCATGGGTCGCTGGGCCATGCTGGCACTCGCGGCGGGGACCTGGGCGGCGTGGGAGACGGAGGGGTTCATGTGCTGGAACTTGGCAAACTCTTCGGGGCTGAAGTGGGTGCCGGGAGGGGCATTGAAAGCAGCTTCCATGGCGGCCTGCGTGTCTGGAGGGGCCCATGATGGCGACATGGGCGATGCGGTCTGGGCACGGAGGTGAACGCTGTGGTTAGGGTCGATGTGGACGTGGCCCATGGGGCCCTGCTGTTGCTCGAGGGGCATCTCGGCGAGGTTGGGGTTCTGGTGCAGGAAGCCGTTCATCATTTCGTCTTGGGGGGTATTCCGACCGGCGCTCCTGAAACCACCGAGGGAGGCATTCGGGCCTCTTCCGACGAGCCTGTCATGCTGCAGGCTTTTGTCGTCCCCGACGTGCTTTGTGAACTGGCTCAGCGGGTTGCCCGCAGTTGAGCACTCGGCGCCACCCAGGAACGACATGGCTTCAGATGAAAGCTTTCGTATCGACACGGCAATGAAGGAGCGAGGAGGGTGAGGAGGAGGAGGAGGGGGGGGACGACGACGACGACGACGACGACGAAATTCGGTGAAGAAAAAGGAGAACCCAGTGCCGGATGGGCGCCCTGGACAGCTGAGCTGCTGACAAAAGGCCTGCGTGGGGACCGACCGGCTCTGCGCTTGGAAGGGCGGTGGCCAATTATAGAGCCAATCACGGTGGGTGTCACGGAGAGATGGTTGGCGTTGGGCTTTAAAATGATGCAGAAGAATAGACTGACAAGATAAAGAGTGAAGAGAAAATAAACAGCAGCAGTTGGGTGTGTAAACCCGACCCTTTGTAGCAGTCCATATATATTTACATATCTTACTAAGAGGTAGATGGCTGATCCGCGTTTGGGTGCCCGCCACCTGTAAATGCCGAGGCAGCTTCCCCCCATTTTCGCGTTCTCTGCGTCTCCAAAAGCGACAGGGGGTAAAACCCCACATTGCGGGCATGTGCCCACCACGGTTCCGGGACGGGCTCCGTGGTACCCAACCAAGCAAAATTGATAACAAACAAACATCCAAGGTGGGAGGAATCTTTACTATTGATACAAAAAGAAAATTTTTAAAAATGTACAAGGCCCCTTTGGCCTGCCGCGGTGATGGTGGCCGTAAGTCCCATCCCTTCCCTCTCTGTCCTCCTTTTCCCGGAAGAAAGCATCATGGGGTATTCATCAAATCGCCACCACCTCTGCGGCTCAAGTCATCGTTATGCCTGCCCGCCGTTTTTTGTTCTGCCTGCCGCAAATCGAGCCATCCATACTTGCCCAAATATAACGTCACTTACTCCGAATCATTGGATCTCCTGTTCTTCTGGTAGCCCTCGGCGAAGTCAACCCGCAGGGTCCTGTCGCCAATGGTGACGCCCTGAAGTCTTCCATGTGCATACTTGGCCGAGTCAACGTCAGAAAAGTCGGCATGAGCGAAGCCGCGGGGCCAGCCAGTAGTACGGTCAACAGCAATGCGAACGTCGCGCAGGTTTGAGAGTCCCTTGAAAATCTTGTTGAGCTCGGCATCGGTGGTCTCGTAGGGGATATTGCCAATGAAGAGTTGCGAAGTAGGGGGCTTGGGGTCCGAGTCGAAGGAACCGCGCTGCTGCCGTGGCTTGCTGTTCTGGTAGGTGCGGGGAATGCAGGTAACGCGGCGACCGTGCCAGAATGAACTGTTAACATTGGCGCACGCAGCATCCAATTGCTCCTTGGTCTCGAAGGTCACGAAGCCAAATCTACAGAGCACACCCGCGGTTAGTATTTTGTGCCCAAAAAAAATCTGAAATTTGGAGAATAAACTTACCCCTTGCTCATACCACGGGGGTCGCGGACAACATGTGCGTCGAGAACATTGCCATACTTCTCGAAAGCCTCCTTAAGGTGGGTTTCGGTAACCTCAAAAACAAGATTGCGGACGAAAGCAGTATGTGCTATTGACGGGCTGTTAGTATTCCAGGATGCCATCTCAAGACGGCTGAAAAGGAACACCTACCAGCTTGAGGAGCAGCCTGCTGAGGGGCCTCCTCTGACACGGCGACTTCGGTCTCCTGAGCAGCCTCCTGGATCTCGAAACTGCCCTGCTCGGCCTGCTCGACGGGCTCGACGGGCTCCTGGGAATAGAAGCGAACAGATTGGATCGACACCAGCTTGGAAGCAGTGGCGGCTCTGGCAATGGTGGAAGCGAAGGGGGTGGTAGGGGCCTTGACGGAGACTGCCCTCGAAGCAGAGAGGGCAGACCGCAGAGCAGCGCGACGGATAGACTGCCTATCAAGGTGGGATGGATTGTCAGCGGGGCGCTCGACGCATTTCAGATATGCGGTGAAAGCAAGAGGCAGACGTACATTTTGATTGCTTGTTTTGAGAGAGACTGAGATCGAAAGAAGGGTTTTTTGGGTCTCGTTTGGATGTCTCGTGGTGTGCAGGCAATGATAGAAAGTGTGGTGAAATAGATGAAGAATTTGGTTGAGCCGGAAGCCTTGTATTTGCGATCGCCTGCCAGAAATTTTTCACCCAGGAACCCCGGGTTCCCCAATCAGTTCGCTAAACCTAGATCGGTATGGTGCGGGGTACACATTGTCAACGTCCAACACATAACCCGAACCCGACGTCCCGACAACATCAAAAACAGTTTTCGCTGATATTTCCGTGCAAAATCCACGTTATCTCCCTCCTATCGAATCGTTATCATATTCATCCATGGTGCCATGAAAAGGAATGATCCCCATCATCAGTTTCGGCGACTCATGTCCACCGCCATCTCCCTGGGATTCTGTGCCTCTTGGATTAAAATTCTTCCACCTTCGATCCCGACCGGTCAGGATGGACGCAGACAAACCAAAAGTGAATAGAAGCGAATATTTATGCATTTTCTTAAACCGGCCGTCATCTTGGAAGTTGGTGTAATACTGCTGTCTATTATCTTTACTCGACGACATGGCACTCTTCAAACCTTTGGTGTTTCCCTCAAGACCAGGCAGGTCTCCCCGTTTCTTCCACCGTTCATCATCCTTTCCTTCTGTCCCAGACCAAAACGCGAGGCAAAAACGCCATCCCTTCCTTCTCCCCGAGCCTATCCCAGTCTCCAGTTTCTTTCACTCCACCACGACACCAACCCTCAACTCCACTCCAACCAGCACACGGAGAGAGAAAAACCACTAAACCCACCTCCGAATCTCAACAATCTATAAAGAATAAAATCAAGGGGCGTGTGGCTCAGTTGGTAGAGCGCCCGCTTAGCATTAGTTACTCGTGACTTACAAGCTTGCGGAAGGTCCCCGGTTCGATTCCGGGCTCGTCCAGACAAACACTCCTGTCGTATCCCTCCTCCTTTTCTACAAGGGGCGTGTGGCTCAGTTGGTAGAGCGTTCGCTTAGCATGTTCAATCTTTGTCTTTGGATGTGCGAAAGGTCCTGGGTTCGATTCCCAGCTCGTCCAGTGAAATAAAAGGGATATGGTGGGTGGTGTTGATCTTTTTGTGTATACTTTTTTTTGCGGTTTTGATAGATGAAGGCTTGGGGATGAATGGGGTTGGTGTTGTTGACCCAGGGGTCGAAACTACTCGGCGACAGACAAAAGAGAAGTTGCAAGCCGCTACTGGGCCTGCTTTGATCTCTACAACGCGTTATTGTTCCTCTTGGGAGATTTTTGTTCCGGGTTCTCTCCTGCTCTCTCTGTCAGACAAGGGTTTCCAAGTCTCTGAAGTCTTGCTATGATATGGGTGGCGGTCCCGTCCCGAGTCAACAGGTCTCGGGGTCTTTGAGGGTCTCAGGCAGTCTTGAAGACATGCCATATTTGCCTTGTACTTCAACTCGTCTCAGCCCGATATTGCGTCAGGAATGGCTGTGAAAGCTTTGGTCCATGAGAGTCTTCTTTGTACGACACCCCAGAATTGCTCGGCGGTGAAAAAGAGAGACACAATCGCCGACTGCTTTCCTACCTGCCAAGGTCTGCTACCCTCTCACGGCAGCAATCTAGCTCAAACACGCGCAAGGCCTTCCACGGGTGTCATCACTACCTACCATGTGCTCATGCCACGTCGGTACTTCCTGCTCGCCCCTCTGTATGAGGAGAGGTTGAAAGCATATAATATATTAAATCAGTTCACATGGTATTGCCCGACATATTACAGGATGCATTCCATACATACATACAAGAATGAAACACCACCCTCTCCTCTCAGCAGTCCTACCTACGATACATGACAAATGGAAGACCACAAAAAAAAAAAAAAAAAAAAAAAAGGGTTGAAGTACAAGTGCTGTCCTTTTGCTGGATATCCCGGGCTGGATAAACACTTACCCCCCGAGTACATGACATGTCGCTCTGCACTGCATAAAGTCCAGTCATCTCTATTTTGGCGAAGCATGTCATGCCATGTTATAGGCTTGTGCTACTCGACAAAAGCCTACCCTATAAAATCCATTTTAACCGCCAGGTATTGATTTGAACCGCATTCATTATCCTTGGAGCCGAACCCCGCGACATTATATATATGATCTGTCAAAGAATGCATGTAATAAAAGAAAAATTGATAGTTAGGTAAGGTATGGTGTGTGTATGTGGGTGTGTGTCCTGCTGCGCTGCGGTGTGGTGTAATATGGACTCGACTAAGGCTGCTGTGAAACGGCCCTCGACTTTCCCGTCGTGTCATATTTGTACCTACCTATAATGTACCGGCAGTGGGCAGACAAGACTGGACCAATATACATGTACAGAATCCTCTCGCATAGGGGTCAAATGTTATTAAAGCGGCCCGACCAGATCCCGCAGCTTCTTTTACGTCCGAGAATTTTTGTTTTGTTTTGTGGGATATTAACTCCCCCACCCCCTTTCTGTCAACCATCTTGCAACCTGGTACAGCCTTGCGTACATATGTGCTGTGGTGTCTCCTGCGTCTCGTTGTGTGTGTGTGTGTGTGTGTGTCTTGCAGGTTTTTGTGGTCTCGTACGATTGTTACAGTGCGAGTTGGCACCCAGCCGAATCTGTACTGACTTGCATGATCTGCCGCTAGGTATTGACGTATGTAGTGAGTACACAAGATGCAGCAGCGAATTGGGTAAAAGGAACCGAAAAAAATGACTGACGTTCCTTCTTTCCTGGTCTTCTTGAGTAGAATAGAGACCTCGGCGTCCAGCCCTTCCAATCCTACCTGATTCTTAATACTTATATTATCCCAAATGGAAGATCTTCCAACCTATTTGAGTACGCTTTTGTATCACCGGATGAAAAGAGAAAAAGAAGAAGAAAAAAAGGGGGGGGGATGGAAAAAGGAATACACAAGCCCATGCTGACTATTTGCTTTGTTTCAAGTGGACGAACGAAAAGAAAAATCTCATTGCACTACCACAACACAGCAACAACAACGGTAACGATAACAAAACAAAGGGGGTGCGGGACGAGGCCCAACTACTTTCTTGGGTCGGCAATATGCTCGGGGAGTACGGCTTGCGGGAGCACGGAAAATCGCGGATGGGATCTCTCGACGCCATCTGACCGGTGCAGAAAGAGAGAGAGAGAGAGAGATCAGGTCGACGTGTGTTTTGTTGAACTCGCCCTGGCAGGCACGTGGGATAAGGTATCACAGCGTACAAAAAGAGTAGATGACAATTTGCCGTCCTACCTGTTACATCTGTGTATTTCGTGAGCTCAGCCGTCCATGCTTTTTTTTCTCTTTTTTCTTTTCTTTTTTTGTGGCCGAGATAGCTGAGCACCCGTATCCGGCCGTGGCCTGGTTGCTTTTGCTACCTCTCGTACTTCCAAACCTGGAAATCAGATTCCATATACGGATATAAAATCGTAGTTAGTATAAGACAATGACCCGCTCCCGGACTCCCGCTCAAAGTCTCAGACCGGATAGGGGGGACAGAAATGTCTTTGGTCGAACCCCCTGATCTTGGCAACGCCAAATGATGACAAAACTCGCAGATACGAGGAAGGGGTCGAGATGAGCTTCCATGTCCGAAAGATTTCGGGCAGGGAGAAGGGCAACATCAGGAACGCAAGCACGCGTGGCTGTCTCCGAGTCAATATTTCTGTGTCCCAGTCGTACAGCATATTCGCTTGACACGGTGGTAATTACCTTGATTGGGCCGAAACGTTGAGCTTGTACCTCAACAAGCGAGAAAACGCAATGGCAAACCAGTTCCTAGCTGCGAGCAGTGTGATCGGATGCTGGTCGTCACAGCGACCTCCTCCATAGGGTTGGCTGCTTGCTGCTGTCGGCCGGGACTCAGCATTCGCCTATCTGGCATGACAGGCTGCCGCCAAAGCAACGAAGCCTTGAGATACACCGGTGTTACCGTATATCCCACGTCAAGGTCTCACCTCGGTGTCGGGGAGCTGTGGAAGGTGATTCTCGGAGATCCTCAACATTATCACGGCTGTCGAGTGGGACCGACTTTTTCGGCAGTGTGCGTACGGTCCAGACGGTGTGCACTCGGATGGTAACTATATCAAACGCCTTTAGCGGCAGACGGTCCCCTCAGCCGCATCGACATCTGAGATGGGGGAAAGGGCCCTTGCGTGGTGTTGTGAAGCTTCAAAACGGGGGCGTCTGGGTTTGCCGCCCGGTGGGTTTGGGGCGTCCAGTGATGGGCGCCCCCGGAAACGATGGCGACATACTCGACCCCAGGCGGGAGGATCTCCCGTCCCAGGTGAACCACTGGGCCTCAGCCAGGCCGGGCTCCGGGAAATAATTATGTTCCAGCATGCTGCAACCGGATGGGTTGGGAGGTCCTTAGGAGGTATGTAACGGGCGGGACGGATACGGGATACTTGTAGCGCAGTCGGCGACTCGGGGACCACCAAGACGGGCTTAGGGCTTTTGGTGGCTTGGATCCCGTCCTGGCGATGAGGCCGAGATAGCGATATGCGACATATCACTAGGCCGCAGCAAACCATTGTTTCTCAGTTCTGCCCCTGCGTCCCAGTACACGTCACAATCAGCGCGCCATCCCAAATGAAGCTGTGAATGACACTAGCTCGCCGTTTCAAGAAGAAATAGTGCCAGCGGCTGGCTTTGAAACATAACTCAGGAAGAGGTCAGCTGGGACAAGGCGGTGCGATGAGCGATCACAACACCATCAATATTGACCCCGCCACGCCTGCACACTGTGTAGAAGTAGATGGCAAGATGTGATCGACTGGGTCATCTTAAGCCGGACATCATTTAATTTCAATCAATCCAGACCCCGATTGGGTAGGTTTGTGATCGACCGGGAGTCGAGATAATTAACTGCTGTTAGTGTGTGTTTGTCGTGCCGCAGGCCGTTGGGAAAACGTCTTGATGATGCTACTCAGGTGCTACTTGAATAGTGTACCCAGCAGTCGAGCTGGCTGAATCGAAAGCCAGAGAGTCGTTCTGGTTTTGCTGCGCGCCAAGACACCACACATGCCACTGTGAACTCCCAGAATAATCATCCGTTACTTCGTACCGAGAATTGATTAATTGGGGGCAAGAAACTGCATGGCCAACACGCTCGAACCCACCATCGCTCCGAAAAGATCCTTGGTTCCCACGAACCGCCGCCACGAGGGCTCGTCGCAACAGCGACGGCGATCCACGGTTTTTATATTGAACGAGTCGGTGCCAACTCGGGTCGGGAAATTTACGCCCGCCTTGGAGAGCTTTACTTCTACTTATCCAACCTTTCCACCTTGTCCCTTGCATCCCTTTCGGAACCCTCGGGTCACCAGAGTCGTGAATCAGAAAATCAGAAACATACGCACTGTCCAATTCCACGGACCCAAGAGAGCGATGATGACGGTGTGATGATGTGGTGGTCGGCTGGAGCGTCAAGGGTCTAATTATTTCGCCGAGAAAAGATTGGGCAGGCGCTGGCAGGCACTGGCAGGCCCTGGACGACACGTGCCGGGAGCGCAAGCGTTCGTGCATCGGATCTGTGGGTCATGTCCAGGTACACGACAAGTAGGCTCAAGATCCATCTCATTAGCGTCTTTCTTGCAGGCCAGTGATCGCAAACTGCCCTGAGCTCCGATGCGAGGTCGATTGCCTTGAGGTGACCAGGAGGGGCATTGTTTCCCATTCCATTCAATTCCTTGCCCAGCGGCGCTGTGGCCTATGAAACGCACACCGGGACGGAATACCTTGCGGCCTCGTCTAACCTGCCGAAATGAGTGCTGCAGGAACATTGTTTCTTTTTCTCCATGGTTGAGACGGAGATTGGCGGCTAATAATTACCTACTTTTAGGTCCTCATAGAGCTGGACTCGCAACGATTTGAAGTGCGGATGCGGTCCGGGGAAACTGCCAATCCAGAGTCTCGGTGACTGATAACGTACACTCCCGACCGGTAGTGGAGAGGCTGGCCATTCCATTTTTGGATGAGGTACCTTTCGGTTCCGCTTGAGGGTTGAGTGGCTTTGTCCAGTCTCATCAAACTGGAGGGGAACTTTTCAATGACATCCAGGGACCTA